ACCCAGTCCAATAGTCCATGTGTGTCTCGTGCTGAGGACCCCAGACCTGGCTACAGCACTGCAGGTGGGGTCAGCTGAGCAAAAACACCCTGTGCAGAGAGAAGCAGTCATTGACAGGTGGTCTTCCTGGATGTTTCAGTGTCATCTGCTTTTYTTGTTCAAGCGCTCCGTTCATCTCTGGATACATCAGTGTGTAAGAACTGCATAAATAGATCTAGCAAGGCAGCTGGGTTTGAAACAGTTTTAGGCAACACCTCCATGTATATATAATGTGCATGTTAATAAGCAATTTAGTGAATGTTTGAGTTGAGATACYTTCTGTCACACACTCTTCTCTGCATTACTGCATTATTTCTAATACTGTGTCTGTCATAAGATATGCTTTTTATCCTTGCATATCCAAATTGTATTTATCTGGTAATAGATTTCTAATCACAGTATGGGCCCTTGACATTGAGATGCTACGACAAATTGTCTGCTGCTCTTATCAACCTTAAAGAACATAGGCTGATCYTCTCCCTGCTGCAGCTATACCAGATGAGGAGTTCACCACACTTCTTGCAAACTACTGTCCTTCCCAGTTTGCTGGTTCAACTGCTCCTGAGAACCTTTTCAGACAAAGTACATGGGATAGACATCCAGATTCTAGGATCTTTGCAAATGTAGTTTCTTTTGCAAATGTATGAAAACAAAAAAAAATCATTTTACTGTGATATTTGTAGTTCATATAAAGAACAGGGAAGTTTGGCACTGAGGTGACATAAAATGGACAAATAATGGAAACATATGGCACAAACTAACCAGTCAAATTCTCTATTTTTGCTATGATTGTTAGGTTACTTAGAGCATCTCATTTACTTGCTTCCTTTTCAGGAAGGTTTAGGTTTACAGTTCCATAGACTTCGTCTAAGAAGAGATATGGCTTGAGGATGTTATGAAGCAAAAAGGTAGAAGGAAGTAATACAGAACTCAGGATCACATTGCCCTCAGTAATATCTTCAGTTGTGTTTTCCGATGGCTGCTGTGCTGTTGTATTTTACATTGAAGTTTTCTGGATATCAACTGATCTAAAGTGGTTGGAGAAGATGATCCAAAATTTGTCTGATTTAGTTTTATGAGCACAGAAACTAGAGTATGCATGAGCTCAGCTTTCCTGTGATGCATTAGGGGTCTGGAGTGAAACATTGTCAGCAGAAAAATATGGTGGACAAAGCTGGAATGCAATTYTTGAAATTCAAGAAAGGTGAGACTAATTTATTTGGCTGTAAATGACAAGCCCAATAGGAATACAAAACTTTTAATCTTCAGGATATTATGTATTAAAGTAATTTAATGCTAAAAGAAGACTGGCAAAATATTAATCATTATGATTAAGGTTTATTGCAGTCTTGGACATTCAGAAACCAGGATGAGATCTAATGTAAGGGATATCCCATCTCAGATTTTCCCTATTAAGTTTCTAGTATTTCTCTCTRAAGTCTGTGATAGTCATCATTGGACAAGATCAAGACTTGGCTGGAGCCCATCAAGGCCTGATCCTGTCTGGCAGGTTACTGTTTTTAGTAGTTCAATATCCTCTGAAGTGCTCTTTCTWCTGTGTGCTGTTAGTATGGATTTCCCTTTCCAACAGCTATTCTGTCAGCTGTTGTCTATATCAATCCTATATTCAGCACTTGGAGTTTGTAACAGGTCCTTGGGAAAAAACAGAAACCTGAAAACCCTCTAGAGGGAAATTTTTGAATGTTGACACAAAATTCCGCATACATGCTGGTTCAATTTTCACCAGGAGCCTTTTCCAAAATACACAGCTTGCTTTCCTGTTAATGGGGAGGTGTGAGGCTGTGGAGCTTTGGAGCTGTGTGAATCCCATTGCTRTACCAAACAGCATTGTTGTTTCCTCTCTTCTTTCCTTCCTCTTTGCTTCCTGGGGCTTTATTTTCTGTGAGAGATCCATCCTTTTTGAATGGTTGTCAAATGCTTGTGCAGGTGGCAGGAGTGAGGAAGTGGTGGAGCCTGGAGCTGCTACAAGCTYCAGTGGATCAAAAATGGTTGCTTTGAGCTTGTGATAGACTTTGGAGATAATACTCAGCTCACTTAGTTTTCAAAGCCAACAAGGACTTTTGTTCAGACCATGCGAAACTGGAATGAAATCCTTTCRTGAAAGACACAGTTTCAGTTGAGTAAAAACATGAAAATTGTGGGTTGAGTCTTCCCCCATAATACGAGATTTTACTCTACCAGTGACCACTGTGATTCTCTATAGCACTTGTTGGCATATTCCAGGATGAAGGGTAGAGTTGCAGAATTCCAGGAGTTGGAATTTGGGTGAATATGATTCAAGATGATTTCTGAAATTACTGAAGGKATGAGGAACTGCAGAATAATTCTCCAGATCATTTGGATTTTGAAAAGGAAAAAACAAGAGGTTGGTGTTGGTGTTTCTTCATTTGAAAGTGTAATAAACAGAAATTACCCAGCCAATACTTCAGAAATGTTTCATAAGATCTAAGTKTGTTCATTCTTAAACATTACCTGCTCCTCTCACACAAATGATCTGTCTGACCTAACCTGCCTTGGCTTTAACTCTTCAAATTAAGCAGGAGAGAGCCTTGCAGGGGTTTCTCTTAGATTGTTTGCATGGGACAACTGCTTTTAAATACAAGTGTCATATTCACTGTTCCAATGTTTTTGTTCAATRTTGCTCCTTTTCTTTGAGAATGATTGAGAGGTTACTCTCTCAGAGTGGAGACACAAAGACTGGATATCACCTGTGGCTCATAGGATGTGGGATGGCCACTGTCTTCCCCTTCAGTATAGAACTCTTGGTCCCCAGATATAGCAGCAGCCCTTCATCAGACCAGTGGAAATGCTAGACTTGCTCCCTGTCTGCACATGGGTTATGTCTGATATCAAAGAYGCTTCATCCATAATGTCTAACATGCTGTTGCCTGAGCCCAGTCCAGGGAGTTTAGTGAGTGCWGACCTCTGATTTCCCAGGTAATCAGCAGTTGGTGTACCACTCCTCTGGAAAGCTAAGGAAGTCTCCAGGAAGTCTGTTTTATATTGAGTTAGTACAGATACAATGACTTCTTCCCACTTTTTTTCAAAAGTGTGCATTCTAGAAGACTTCAGCTGGTTGTTCTGGGTATCATGAAGGAATTTGTTTAAACATAAAGTTACATTAAGATCATGAGATGTAAAATCAATATAATTACTTCAGGGCAGAAAATAATCTGATGATGGTAAAGGAGAGTGTCACAACTGCAAAGGGGGATGAGGAATGGGGCAGGGACAGTCACTGTTATTTCTGCAGATTCACACAGCACAATGTCTGTCTTCATAWTGTCACAGGCTGCCATATCCGTCCCTTCACACCTCTTGAACACAGGCAGGCAGACGAACTCTTTGATCCAAAAGCTTCTTCAATGATTCTTATTAGTGTTTTGTTAATCTGACTGTGGCCTTCCTCCTGTCCCCTCCCAGCACTGGGGATTTCAAGGTTCAGCTTGCATAACAGGTAATAGCAGGCATTTCCTTCTCCTGCATCGGGATATCCTGGCGCCCTTCAGTCTCTCTCTGGCTGTGTTTAAAACAGACTACAGCACAGGAAAAAAAGGGAAAAAAAAAAAAAAAAACAGCCCAGTCTAAAATTAGCAGCCATGGTAGAAGAAAGACCCACGGCTGTCCCCTGTGCTGTTTGTCAATGAAACAACACATCCAAACAGGGCCAGAATGCATTTCCGCTCTGGAAAAACAGGTCAAGTTTGGAGAGAATAGAAGAGTACAGCAGGCATCATGCCAATAGTCAGGGAGAAATATCTCGAAGGTATCCACAGTCACACAGACACRAAGGGACCATAGGGAGGGCTTTTATGGCAAGGCTGTATGTCTGCCTTTTGGAAGCGCTGACTGGTGCTTGAGGCTCTTGCTGCACCTGGAAGTTGGATCAGGTGCTTTGTGGTTTACAGAACCTCTGCAATCTCTTCTTCTCATCTGGATTTTAGGTTCCTTGTCCTTAATGGACCTAAAAACCTAAACATTTTATTGCTGTGAGATYGTTCTTAAATGATTTAGGACAGATTCTGATCTTGCAGTGGTATAAACCTGAGGCCTCAGTAGTTTTATGCCATTCTTAGTATTCTGAGTTGATAAAGTTGAAATTAAAACTTTAAATAAAATGGTGTTGCTTTATTACAACCTGTTCTTTACATTTACACACAYATATATATATATAAAGTTGAAATTTTAATCTGATCTTGTAAGCAGCTTGACTGTTACTCCATTAATAACAGTTTCTTGCATGGATATTATATAGGATTGGACTCTTAGTGTATGAATATTGAAGTTACTTGCGTTATGTAGTAATGAAAGACATTATTGCAGAATGTTTACACTTCATTGCCACTTCATTGCCAAAATGGAATTGTGATAAATTGTGATAAACCYATTTCCTCTTTTCATTATGCAGTCCTATATACAGACCATGAGAATTGCTGTGGAAATTTTRTTTGTAACTGTCAGGGGTATGAATTGACTTCAGCTTTCTTTGCTGGATTGCAGTTGTATCAGTCTGTCAAAGTCCARCTGGTGGTCATTGAGTAAAAGTCCCTTAGCTAAAATCAAATAATCATGTTTCAACAAGGCTTCAAAAATTGGCCCTTCTGCTCTGCTTTCTTGCAGTTCCTTTAGTATATTTTGCCCTGCTAAATTGTGGGATTACAATGTATCCAGTTCATTTCTCTTAAGTTTGCCTTTCTGGTTTCATAGAAAGTTTTTTTTGGTTCCTAGAAACTTCATTATGATATATCCCAGATAAAAACTGCTCTTAATGTMCTGCAGAATCTCGTGGGGAGAGCTTGTTGGTGACAATGAACTTGCATTTAGACATAAGCCTTTTTGCTGTTCTTTGTCACTTGATAGATTTATAAAGTAAGAAACACTTTTCCRCATGGATTAAAGAGACTGAGTACTTTTCCATCAGTAGAAAGAAGTGGACTTACTGGCAAGTTGGAACACAGCAGCTATGGCTTCCTCCCACCACTGGGTATCCTGGGAGATAATGGGGAGCTCCATCAGCCTCATGACGAAGAGGAGCTGGCCAGCAGTCAGAGCCACCGTGGCGATGAGGTTGCAGGCACGCATCATGTCAAACTGCACTAGGGAAACAGAAGCAGCATAAAGTTACAACAGTATAAAATTGGGAAAAAGAATTCTTGATGAGCAGGAATATGAAGTTTGTCAGTCCATAGAAAACAATCCTTAGAGAGCAGTCCCTTTTCCCAGCAGTCCCTTGTTCCAACTGCTTTCCCTGGCGTCTGATTAAGAGGATTTTCTTCAGGATGTATGTCAATTCTTTCCTTTAGTTGCACAGCATCCTTTAAGTATTGCTTCAGTGCATGAAACAAGCAGCCAATTTCCCAGAATGGCCCACTGGAAATGCTGGAATTCTCTTCACTGAAGATTCTAACTGTAATCCATAGCCAGAATTGTTTGGGGCAGGATTTGATGTTTGCTTTATATTTGTGTGGCACAGACTGAAATGGAACCRTAAATAGTTTGTCAAGGCTCTAAATTAATAATCATCATCCCTAAGACAAACCAATAACACCCTGAATTTCTTTTTCCCTTAGTCCATCTGTATTGTCCTAAAAAATATCCTGTGGATATAATGGTGAAGTCTTACTGGTTTACAGAAGCTTTGTATAGAGGATTCTTAATTTTTTCTTCTTTTACCATTTATAAATCTTTGGGATGCAGTGCAAATGCCCTTAAATTTCCATCTGTGTAATGAAGGAAGTGGCTGCAATGTAGATGTCAAGGCCTGGCAGTTCTAAATGGGTGTTAGAGCATAATCTACATGTACAGGCTAAAAGTTATCTTTTTTTTTTTAATTGTGTGTATGTGTATATATTTATGCCYGGCCAGGGCAATGACACTGATAAATTATACTACAAGGAAATAAAGGATATCACTTGATCAACTTCCCTGGGCTTTATGGGTGATTTTAAGTTTCCAGCATCAACTGGGAATATYATACAACAGRCACAAACAGGTCYAGGAAATTTCTGGAGCATTTTGAAGGTAACTTCTGGTGCAGGGACTGAAGGGCCAACTAGAAGAGGTGCCCTCTGAGATGTGCAGTTTGTAAAGAGAGGCTTGTGGGCATAGTGGTGACCTCTTAATAGCACAGGAGCTGGCAATTCCAAAGCACGAGGAATCATGTAAGCAGGGAAGAAGAAGGGCCTGGTTGAGCAGAGATTTCCTTGAACTGAAAAGTATACAGGCCAGAGTCCATAATGGAACACCATGACAGGGAGGATGACAAACTCAAAATAAAAAGGACATTGAACAATGGGATTAGACCTAGGGAAGGGTGACCAGGATGTTGAAAGGTCTCAAGGGTAAGACATGCAAGGAATGGCTGAAGTCACTTGASCAGTTCAGCCAGAAGAGAAGACTGAGGGGTGACCCCATCACATTCTGCACCTTCCTCACAGTGGGGAGGTGCTGATCTCTGCTGTTTGGTGCCAGGACCCGAGGGAATGGCTGGAGCTGTGTCAGGTGAGGGTTGTGTTGGTTATTAGGAACAGGTTCTTTCTCCAGAGGGTGTTTGGGCACTGGGATAGGCTCCCCAGGGCAGTGGTCATGGCACCAAGGCTGGCAGAGTTGTGGTTTGTGTAGGGTGCTCTTAGTGACATGTTTTAGTTTTAGGTAGTCCTGCAAGGAACRGGGARYTGAACAGAAKGATTCTTGTAGGTCCTTTCCAACCTGAGATAATCTATGATTCTCTATTGAAGAACAAATGCAGCAATGATTACAGACATGGATATCTGCAGTCTTTACTTGAAACCTGATTAAAATGTGTCTCCCAGCTGCCTACTGAATAGAATGTATTAATTGCAAAGTTGGKTACTTTTAGTCAGGGTTTTTTCCTGCTTTTCCTGTTAGCCTGATGGATGTCCTGTTTTTATCCTTTTCCTTCCCCTCTAGCAAAAGGTGGGAGTTACAAATATCATTGTGCCAGTTCTACATCACTTGCAAATGTGTCATKACTATTCTGAAATAGAAGTCGCGCCATGTTTATGTTGGCCTATACTAGAGAAAGACAGACTGGGGACATGAATTTTCAGCAGATTTTCAGAAGTGTTTTAACTGTCTTTAAATCTGGTGGATGCACTGACAATTTGGTTCCTGATCTTCCAAGAAGACTGCTAGAAGTGCAGAAAACAAAACTTGATAGAAACAAGAGTGAATTTAATTCTGTGTAGCATGAAGTCTGACCTACTTTTGTGAGTCATAAAAATGTTTTCCCTTATTTTCCCCTTGTAAGTCATCTTTAGCTTCCAGTGCTCTAAGTAACAATTCATGATTTAATTAAAATTTAATAAAATACAGTATTGTATCTGAAGAGTTAATTAAGAACCATAGTCCATTAAACTTTTTACATTGAATAAAATGTTAAGAAAATAACATGCTAAGTATTTTCTAGTGAGTCATTTTCTTCTAGTGAGTCAATTTCTGACCAGAGAGGAAAGTTATTTTACTCAAAAAAGTAATTTGTTCAAAGATTTTGTGTAGAACTTTCAAAGTTGCCCTTTTAGCATTGGCAGCATTTCCATCTCTTGCCATGTTGAATGCTCACAGGTCATGGAGTACATTGGCTGATAATAGAATCACAGGCCTATGTCTGAGCTTTGTAAACAACAGTAGAACTTTGAGCATTCAGAGTGTTCTGTTTTTCCACTCAGATGGACTTCTGTAATACTTTGAGGACCAGTGCTTGCTGAAGAGATAATAATGATTTTCAAAAGCAGAAATGTCCAAAGTAAGAGCAGGCTTACAGCTATTATTAAGTACTTTCATTCGGTGACAGAACTATCTGTAGTGTCAAATAAAAAATTGTTACCATAAGGGATTCCTTTGTCTTGTCTCTAAAGAGTATTCATGAGCTAAAAAAACCAAAAAACCAACCTGTCTATATAAATAACCTTTAAAAGTCTGAAGGTTATGCCAGAAATATATACTACCCTGGACACAGAAATTAACACCAAATTTTTGCTTTTGCTGMTATTTATTACTAATGGTAACACTTAACTATATTACAAAGACTATTAGCTTTGTTACAGATGATATTGTAGCATGCATACTAAAAATAGTAAGTTTCTGACTGTGACTCAGTTGACCTTTGAGCAAACTTGTACCAATTACAAAATTACAATTTAAAAAATGGTTCTGTGGTCGTTGTCATCTACAGCTGGAAGTGCAGTAGCATTGAATGGGTAATACTGAAGATCTTTGCTGCTGTTTGTAAGAACTCCACATTTAGGGATGTTTATTGGCCTAATACACTACACTGTTCAGAGAGAAGTGGAAATGCAATGATTATTTTGCAGAGCTGTTCCTTTTAAACAAAAASAAGGTTGCACATGGAATGGTAGAATAACAAAGAAGTAGCTGGTACAATTTCATTAAATGTGAAGACAGTTATTGTTATGGAATGAGGTATTACAACCTGATGATCTTTCCATCTCTCATATGAGAGATGTTAGTTTATTCTAGCAGGTTTAATGCATGATCTGTCATCTTCTGATTTCSTTCTAGAATTGTAATGATTCCTCTTGGGGAAAGAAGCAAACTTAATATCATAGAATTGTTTAGGCTGAAAATGAGCCTTAAGATCATCAAGTCCAACTATTCCCTCAGCACTGCCAAGGCCCCCACTAACCATGTCCCCAGGTGCCACATCCACATGTCTGTTAAATCCCTCCAGGGATAGGGACTGCACCCCTACCCTGGGCAGCCCATCAATAATGTATAGTTCTTACAGTAATGAATGAAGTCCATTCTTCTTGCAGTAGAGCTTGTTAATTGTATTCAGCCTGAAGGTATGAGATGGCTGTGTGTCCTTACTCACAGACATTGTTCATGCTGTCAGCTCAGCACGTAATTTTGTTTTGCATATAACACAACCCTAAGCTGAGCTCTTACACCATCAGCTCTGGCCTCTTTTTAGTGACAACAACCAGTGGATAGCATGGATCAAGAAAGGGAATTGAGTGTACAATGTCAAAGTATTTCTTCAGGSCTCAACCCAAAGCCATTGAAGAGAGAAATCATGTTGAGGAAGGCCAGGCCACAAAGCTCTTCTCCTGCTTGAATGACTGCTCAGTCCAGGAATAAATATTTCTAATCTCTTATAAAACTAGCTGCAATATTGTTKTTGTAAAAGCTATGTAATTTAGTATTTACCTTTGTGCTCTTTTACTCTATTTTAAATTACATGTACAGCAAAAATGCCTCAGTAGCTAGCTTTAGTCTGTTCTGATAAGTTTTTTATAGACTTGATAATTAATACAAATTTAGGATCATCTGTTCAATCATTTCAGCTTCATTTATAGTAGCCATGATTCCAGTGTCGCTTTTTGTGGTTTCTGCAGGCTTCATCAACTTTGGCATAATAGTTTGTTAATGACAATTTTTAAAACAAGATGTTTGTAGTGGTTTTAGTGTCTGCAGTTACCTGTAGCATTTGTATTAACCCCTCACTCCTATCATGACATAAGTATTTTGTATTTTTGATATCCTGCTTACTTTGTTTTGAACTCATTATTGTTGATGTCACTCATGTCTTGATATTTAACTGTGATGGAGCTCTCTGTGGCCACAGGGAGATRGCTCCCTATAGCTAGAAGTCAATACTTCCAACAGAATAGACCTAGACACTGCAGAAAGTATTTATTCTTTTGTGTGCATCTGACAGGTGAAGGAGGGAGGACAGGCTGTCTGTTAGTACCTTTATTCTCTCCCTTAAGATTCACCTTGGCTGTTGAGAGCTGGAAAGGGTTCGAGCTGAATGGCTCTAAAATCTCTACTCTACATATCTACTGTTCATCAGTGTGTAGTGCTAGTCTCTGCCTTTTTCCTTCTGGAAGCCCATTGTGGGCCCCTTTTTCTCTGGGAGGTAGTTAATTCATGGACAGGGCATCCAGTTGGGACTCTTGTACAGCCAGGGGTACTGACTTAATGAATTTTGCTTTGTTTAAAACAGTGATCAATCAAGAGTCAAACCCCAAACTCTAAGGATGAGACCAAGTCAGATTTGTTGTAGTTTTGCTCACTTCCTAAACCAGCTGTATCCATCTGTATTAGAGATGTT